CGGCACGACCGAACGGATATTGCCGCCCAGCGCCTCTTCCAGCGTGGCGCGCAGGCCAGCCGCCTTAGCATGGTCGCCGCGCGCTCCTCGATCACCCGCTCCAACGCGGACACGGCAAAGGTCACGCCCGCCGCCTTCACGCATTGCAGATCGATCGGCGAGAGCAGGCGGTTGGTCGCCCCTGCTCCGGCGACAGGTCGAGATCGGCGAGTTCGCCCAGCATCTCGCCCTGTGCGGCCCTCGACCACCCCGCTGGCCAGCAGCGCCGAGACGGTGGGTGCCACGCAGCACCATGTCGAAGACTCCGCCGTTTTCGACCAGAATCGGGCAAGGTCCTCCCCGATCGATACGGCCGACAAGCGGCCCGCGCGCCAATCGTCCGGCAACGCCGCGATTGGCTTGGTGGAATTGCTGCCATCTATCCTCTCCGCAAATTTTATTGGCGGTATCGATTGCCGTCCGATCTGTGTCAAGAGGCCGAGGATGATCCGCCCGCACAGAACCCGCATCCTACATCAAATGCCCGGCCTTTGGCCCGGAAAATACATGGATTGGCATAACCATTATGTTTGCTCGGTCATATATCGCGGGACCGATGCTGACCGCTCTTGCCGTTGAAGACCCGTCCTTTCGTTGACGATCGATCATCGTCACATCGTGCGCGTCTGCGTGCATGGCGGCCTGTCGCCCGCGATCAGCGGCCCGCTTCTGGCCCGCATTCGCGCCGCCATCGCCGGGTCGCGCCGCGGGCGGGGCCATAACAAGGTGATGGTCGATCGTCGCGGCGCGCCGACCCCGACTCCCCGACACCGTGGCGATGGTCCGCGCCGGCATGGGCGATCCATTATGCCCCTGACGACCGGCTGGCGATCGTCGTCGACTCCACGCCATTGAAAAGCCCAGATACGCCAGCAATATGCGCTGAAGCATCGGGAAGCCTTTCTCTCGCGCGATGCCGCCTCGCCCGGTTGGAGAATAACCGACCGGCCGGCGGGTTCGTCCGCCGGCCGGCCCATCACCATCAGTGATTGTCGCGCGGCAGGCCCCTGGTCTGGGCGATGCGCTGATACTTCTCCGCGCCCTGGGTAGAATCGCGCCGCTGGCCATCTGGCCGACGACCGAACGCTGATTTCCTGCCACGGGGTCTGCGAAGCGGGTATTTATACCCGCCCATACCGCCGCCAGCACCTTGCGACGCTCCGCCAGTTCCTCTTCGGAGATCAGGGATATTGGCGGTGCCCTTGTTCAGGTCGATCCGCACCCGGTCGCCGGTTTCGACAGCGCCGGGCCACCCATCGCTGCCGCCTCGTGGCTGGCGTTCAGGATCGAGGGCGAAACCGCTCGTGCCTGACTGGCGCCCGTCACCGATGCAGGGCAGCGGAGTGCACGCCCTCGGTGATGAGGTATGCCGGCAGGCGCATGGTGACGACTTCCGCCGCCCCGATAGCTGATCGCCCGCCGCGCATGAACAGCAGCGTTTCCGGGCGTGATGCCGGTCGCGGGATCGTCGATCGGTGGTGATAATCCTCCGGCCCGTCGAACACGACCGCAGGGCCTTCAAAGGCATCAGGATCGTCAGGTTGGACAGATAACGATCGCGGAGTTTCCGGCGAGATCACGCTGGTCTTCATGATCGCCGCGTCGAACAAATTGCCCGACAGCACGATGAAGCCCGCCTCTTCCTTCAGCGGCTGCGCGAAGAGGACGGACTCCACCTTCTCGTCCTCGATCGCCTTGCCACGCAATTGTCGCCCATGGTGCGGCCGTTGACGGTGATCGCGTCTCGTGGATCAGTCCCTTGCTCCATCAGCTGGTTGACCACGGCGGGACACCGCCGGCGCGGTAATAATCCTCGCCCAGATATTCGCCGGCGGGTTGCGGGTTCGAGCAGCGGGATCTTGTGCCCCCGGTCTCCCAATCCTTGACCGGCAGGTCGACACCGATGTGGCGCGCGATGGCGCTTGGTGGATCAACGCGTTGGTGGAGCCGCCGATCGCCGAATTGACCTTTTGATCGCGTTGTGGAAGGCTTCCTTGGTCAGGATGTCGGAGGGCTTCAGGATCCTCCTGCACCATCTCGACAATGCGCTTGCCGGTCAGATAGGCGACTTCCGGCGATCGCGGTACGGCGCGGGAATCGCCAGCTGAGCCAGCGATACGCCCAGCGCCTCGGTCAGCGAATCTATCGTCGTCGCCGCCCATGGTGTTGCATAGCCGGTCGACGGCGCCGAGGAAACGACGGTGGATGAACTCGCATCGTCGATCTCACCCCCGCCAGCATCTGGCGCGCCTTCCACGATGGTGCCTGAGCCGGTCCGCTCGCCCCTTGTGCCAGCCATTGAGCATCGGCCCGACCGACAGCGCGATCGCGGGGATATTGACGGTGGCAGCCGCCATCAGCGCCGCCGGGGTGGTCTTTGTCGCAACCGATGGTCAGCACGACCGCATCGAGCGGATAACCGTACAGCACCTCGACAGCCGAGATAAGCGTTGCGATCGAGCCCGGCGGTCGGGCGCTGCCGGTTTTCCCTGGAATCGGATGGACCGGGAATTCCAGCACGGTACGCCCATTCGCGCACGCCCCTCGCACCCGCTCGGCCAGCACCAGATGGTGGCGGTTGCAGGGCGACAGGTCGGAACCCGTCTGCGATGCCGATGATCGGCTTCGCCTGACTGAAGCTCCCCTCCGGGCCGAGGCCGAAGTTCAGATAAGCGCTCCAGATAGAGCGCGGTCATGTCGATATTCTCAGGATTATCGAACCCGGGCGCGACTGCGCAGCTTCGCGGGCGTGTCGGTCATATCAGACTTTCAATCAGCGAACGGTGGAGAAACGGTAGATCATGGTGTGCCGATAGGGCTTACCGGGATCGACGCGGGCAGAAACGAAATCGGTTTGTTGGGCGAGTCGGGGAATTTCTGCGGCTCAGGCGCGATGCCGTCGCCCATGCGGTACAGATGTTCTCTTGCCGACATAGGTGCCGTCGAGGAAATTGCCCGTATAGAATTGCACGCCCGGCTCAGTCGACAGCACTTCGGCTTTTTCGCGGCCCGGAGGCGGGTCCTCCAGCCGTGCGGCAAGCGGTGGCGTGGCAGTCAGCCCCTTGTCGAGCGCGAAGTTGTGGTCATAGCCTTGGCCATAGCGGATCTGCTGGTCATTGCCGTCGCGCGGATACTGTCGGCGACCACGCGCGGCTGACGGAAGTCGAAGACCGTGCCGGCGACGGGGTGTCCGTTCGCCGGTCGGGATCAACAGCATCGACCGGGGTATAGGCGCTCGCCGGGATGGTCAGCTTATTGGAAGGTCAGTCCCAGCGGCGAGGCCTTCGCCGTTGGGTTGAAGATCGCGTGGTTGGTCACGTTGATGACCGTCGGCATCGTCGGTGTTCGCGACAAAGGCGATGGTCAGCGCCCCGCCTCGTCCAGCGAATAGGTGACGGTGGCGTCGACCTTGCCAGATAACCCTGATCGCCATCGGGGCTGGTCAGCGCCATCACCACGCTGGCGGTCGAACCGTCCTTCATCGAGACGATCTGCCACAGATGCTTGTCGAAGCCCTTCGTCCCGCCATGGAGCGAATTGGTCTCTTGTCGTTCTGGGTGAGCTGGTGGCTGCGCCCGTCGAGCGTGAAGCGGCCGCCGGCGATCCGTTGGCATAGCGGCCGACCGTCACGCCGAAGAAAGTTCCGGATGGTTCACATAATCGTCGGCCTTGTCATAGCCGGAGCAGCAACATCGGCCGTCTTGCCCGTTGCGGTCGGGGGCCATAAACCGATTGAAGTCGCGCCATAGGTCAACACGCGTGCCGACAGCCCCGCCTGTTGGTCAGGGTCACCGCCTCGATCGCGGCACCGTCGGCCCGGTGCCCGGCGGGCGACCGCTTTCATTCGCTGGCCAGCGCCGCTGTCGAAGTCATTACGGTCGTTACCGCTACCGAGTTAAAAAGCTCTTGATTGACGCCCTCGACATGCCACCATCCCTCCGTCGCCAGACGCCATTGACGCGCCTTTGCGTCACCATAGTCAGACAAAATACCGGCGAGGAGCAAGCGGGGCGCACAGAAGTTTTCGTGACGCCGCCCGCTCTTAAGGAGAGGATTGCCAGCGGCGCACCGTTGTTTCCCCGCCGCCGGCGCGCCAGCCGCTGCGGAGGGGCGACCAATTACCGGTCCGCGCTGACGCTGCTGGCCAGCCTGTTCTTCATCATGTGGAGGTTCATCACCGTCATCAACGGGACGCTGCTGCCCCATCTGCGGAGCGTGTTCGACCTCAACTATTTCCGGGCTTCGCTGATCGAGAGCGCGTCTGGTTCATCGCCCTATTTCTTCGCCTCATCCCCTCGGCCAAGTTGATCAGGCGGATCGGATACCAGAAGCCGCCAGACCGGGCTGCTGATCATGGCGGCGGGCGCGGTCGGCATGATGCTGGCGGCGACTTTGCCCTCCCATGGCGTCACCCTGTTGATGCTGTTCGTGATCGCCAGCGGGATCACGCTGCTGCAGGTCGCGCCAATCCTTATGTCGCGGTGCTGGGCCCGGCGGACACCGCATCGTCGCGCCTGAACACGGTGCAGGCGATGAACTCGATGGGCGATGCTGGCGCCGCTGTTCGGCGCTTCATTCATCCTCGGCCGTTCCAAGGGCGGCACGGCGGAGGCCGGCAGCGTCGCGCTGACCCGTGCCGAGCGGCTGGCGGACGTTCATGCGGTGGTCCTGCCCTATGGCCCGGGTCGCCGCGGTGGTGCTGGTGGTGCTCGCTCGTCATCGCGCGCTTCCTGCTTGCCCGCCATGGGGTCGTCGACCAGCCGAGTCGCCAAGGAGGAGCGCAGAATCCTCGCTGTGGAAGCATATCACCTTTGGTGTTCGGCATCGGCGCGATCTTCATCTATCTGATCGCCGAGATCGGCGTCGGCAACCTCTTCGTCAACTTCGTCCAGCCGGCCCGGACATCGGCAACATGATGACCGGGCCGCCAGGCCGTTACCTGACCCCTGCTCTGGGCGGGGATGATGGTCGGCCGCTTCGTCGGCTCGGCGATCATGCAGAAGGTGCCGACCGGGCACCGTGCTGGCGGTCTTCTCGATCGGTGCGTTCATCGTGATGCTGGCGACCGTCTTCACCACCGGCCCCGTCGCCATGTGGTCGCTGATCCTGGTCGGCCTGTTCCACTCGATCATGTTTCTGACCATCTTCACGCTGGGCATTCGCGGCCTCGGCCCGCTGACCGAGAATGTTTCGGGCCTGTTGATCGGCGGCGATCGCCGGCGGCGCGCTGGTCGCGGTGCATGGCTGGCTGGCCGACCATTGGCGTGGCCTGCGGCAGTCGTTTCCTGCTGACCGCCGTGTGCGACTCTACATCCTGTTCTACGCGGTCTGGGGATCGAAGCCGACCAACGCCTTCCCGGATGAAGACGCGAACTGATACCCGCCTTTATCGGTGAGACACGGAAAGGGGCGGCGTCGCCCGTTCCTGCATGCGGGCATCGCCTTTCGCCACACCCATTGATATGGTACGTTACACCATATCAAATAGTGATGATTGCTTCGCGTCTCCAGTCTCGATACGCTTTCTGCCCGCCAGCCACCACCATCTTCGAGCCATGTCCGGATCGGCACCGATGCCAGCGCTGGCGGCGATCCACGATCCGGCGGTGACGCTGGCCGTGTGGCAGCGCCCGCAGAGAAGAATGCCCCGACCTGTCCTCGCTGCCCGCGATCCGCTTCGCCGCACCGGCCGGACAGGTGGCGCAGCGGCTGGAGGAATAATGGGCGGCGCTCGCGCCAGGCCTTGTAGCCCTGACCGAGGATGTCGCGCAACTGGCCGCGCTCTATGCCAAAGCTCGCCGCCGAGCCGCGCGTCGAGGTGCGGCTGGATGGATCACGGGCAATGGCTGCTGGAAATTCGGTTGCCGATTATGTCGCTGCGCCTGATCTCTCGACCTATTGGGGCGAGGCCACGCAGTGGCTGCCGCAGGTGCGGGTGCCGATACCCGCCCGCGCGCTGGCGGCCGGCGATGTCGGCATGTTCAAGGGCGGGCACTGGCCGACGACCGGGCGATCATCCATCGGTCGCCGCCGATCGGAGAGCGGCGGCGACCCGCTTGCTCCTCGTCATCGACACCGAATGGGAACAGGCAGACTGATCCCGCCTCAGAACCGTGTTCGGATGCCGAGCGCCAGCGCCGCACCGCCACCGCGCGCCGGGCCATAGCGGCGTTCCTAATTCACCCCGACATAGGGCGCGAACTCACGGCGATCTCGTACTGGAGCCTGAGCCCCAGTTCGAGGCTCGACACGCCTGCCACGATCCGCTGCTCGGGCACGTCCTGCGCCGCCAGATTGATCTCGACCCGGGTTGCAGGATCGCCCGCTGGTCAGCTGCTGATCGACCAGCCTCGGCTCCGGCCGGTCAGTTCGCCCCGGTCCGACAGGAACAGCGCGCCCTCGACATCGAACCAATGGGGGCGCCCCTCGACCCTGATCACGCATAGGTGCGGCGCGCGCCCGCCCCGACATCCTGACGCAGGCCCGCACGAGATCCCAATAGGGATCGATCGCGCGGGCATAGAGCGCTTGCACCTCGGCCGCACCGATCCGACCACCCAGCATCCCTCGCCCTCGGTCTTGACCACCAGCCGGTGGATGTCGCCGCCAAACCAGCCCTCCCCATCCCAGCGATAATTGTCGCGTCCGTCGCCAGACTTGGATCTCGGCGGGTTGAACAGAATCTGCGAAAACGCATGCCGCCATGTTCCTGCCGCATACGCGTATCGGCGGCGGCCATGGCGGCGGGTCGTCAAAGCGATCGGCCGCGCGGGTCGGGGCGGGCGGTGGCGGTGCGGTGCCGACGGGGCCCTCGTCCATCGCCATGCCGGGCATCGCGCCGTGATCCATGCCGGCGTGATTCATCCTCCATGCCCCCATGGCGGCGTGATCCATTCGGTATCGCCCTCCGCCCCTGCTCGCTTCGGCAATGGCCCATGGCTTCATGCTCCGGCGAACAAGCGGGTGCCGTCATGCCGGGCATCGGATCGGGCTGCGGCGCGGCGGGCTGGCAATGCCCCATTGCGGCATGTTCGGCTGAGCAGGCCATGCTGGCGGACGGCATCGCAGGATGTTCGTGCATTGCGGGCGCGGCACGCGCGCACGCGGCTTGGCCACCACGTCCTGGCTTTGCCCTTTGCCGGCTTGGGCCGTGCCGCGACCTTGGGTTTGGCGGGCATGGGCATCGCCATGCCGGGCATCATGCCGTGATGCTGGGGCTCGGCGAGCAGCAACGCGAAGAGGATCATGCCGCGTCCCCCTTCGCCGCATCGGGCGCACCGTCACCACCTGCATCATCCCGGCATGCATATGATAGAGGAGATGGCAGTGGGAACGCCCAGTCGCCCTCGGCATCCGCAGTCAGGTCGAAACTCACCTGCCCCCCGGCGCGACATTGACCGTGTGTGCTTGCGGGGGCATGATCGCCATGCCCCCGTCACCAGCTCAAAGAAATGGCCGTGCAGATGGATGGGATGGGCCATCATCGTGTCGTTGACCGTGGTCACGCGCACCCGCTCGTTCAGGCGGAAGGGAATGGGCGCGGTGACGGCGTCTGGCTTCACGCCGTCGAACGCCCACATATAGCGTTCCATATTGCCGGTCAGGTGAATGGTCAGCGCGCGCGACGGTGCGCTGGTCCGGATTGGGGCGAGCAAAGGACGAGATCGCGATAGGTCAGCACCCGGTGCGACATCGCCCCCCCCCGGGGCGGCTCCCCGTCCGATCGACCGGCATCGGCGCGACCGTCTGCACGACCGGCGTGCGCGGCAGGCCGGGGGCGTTGGGAAGTCGCGCATCTTATGGCTCATGCCGCCATGATCCATCGGCATGGCGCCACCCATCGGCTGGCAATGCCCCCATCGCGGCATGCTCGGGCGGGCAGGCGCCGCCGCCGCCGCCGCCATGGTCCATGCCCCCATGCCCATATCCTTCATCGTCGCCAGCGGCCGGGGGCGTAGCGCGGGACCGCCGCCACCATCCCCATGGCCGGCGCCAGCGTAGCGCGCGCCATGCCCGACCGATCCCAGCTCGGCGACCAGCGTATAGGCGCGGGGCTCAGGCGGGGTGACGATCACGTCATAGGTCTCGGCCACCGCGATCTGGAGTTCGTCGACGGTGACGGGCGCACATTCTGGCCATCCGCCTGCACCACCGTCATCGCTGCCGGGGATACGCAGATTGAAGATGGTCATCGCCGAAGCATTGACGATGCGCAGCCGCACCCGCTGTCCCGCCACGAACAGCCCGGGTCCAATTGTCCCCGGCCCCGCCCATTGACGAGATAACGATAAGTCGAGCCGGTCACGTCGGACACGTCGCTCGGGTCCATCCGCATCGCCCCCCAGCGTAAGCGCTCCTTCAACGGCTGGTCGCGCCCGGCCAGCAGTCCGCCGATGGTCTGCTTCTGATAGTTGAAATAGCCGCCCGGAGTTTCAGCCGGCGAAAAATGGCGTGGGGTGCAAGGCGCTGTGGTCGGACAGCATGACAACATGCTCGATATCCGCCGCGACCGGATCGGCGCCGGCCGGGTCGATCACGATCGGGCCGTACAGACCCTCCTGCTCCTGCAGGCCCGAATGGCTGTGGGATACCAATAGGTCCCGCCCGGACGACCGGAAACTCATAGGTGAAGCGGCCGCCCGCCGGGATGCCCGGAAAGCTGATCCCCGGCACCCCGTCCATCTGAAAGGGCAGCAACAGCCCGTGCCAGTGGATCGACGTCTCCTCGTCCAGCGTGTTGACGACGGTGATCCGCGCCCGCTGCCCCTCGCGCAAACGGATCAGGGGAGCAGGCGCCGAACCGTTGATACCGATCGCGTGATAGGGCTTGCCATCGATCATCATATGCTGACGCCTGACGGTCAGCGTGATCTCGGCCTTTGAAGCTCGACGCGCGGCGACAGGCCATGGCCATGATTCTGCGCCTGTGCGGGAAGGCGGCCAGCGTGCCAAGGCCGACACCACCGGCGAGCAGATCACGACGGCGCATCACGGTCGGAAGATCGGTCATGCCCTCTTATACGCGCGGAAGCGCCCGCCCCCTCACTCCATCGCATCGCGCAAGGCGGCGCGGGCTCGGCGGACGCAGTTCCGATCGCTTTGGCACTTCAGCCCCAAGGCCTCCGGCGGCCTGCTTTGACTGAGCCCCTCGATCGCGCACGGGATCAGCGGCGGCGCAACGCCTCCGGCAGCGCATCAAGCGCGGCCAGCGTGCTCCAACGATTGCCGGTCGATCGCCGCCGCCTCGCTGCCGACCCGGTCGTCGGCGACCCTCCGCCGCCGTCTCGATGGGCAGCACCCGCGCCAGCATCGCGCGCACCCGCCGCCGCGCCCAGTCCCGGCATTTGTTGAGCGCGATCCGGCTGAGCCAGGCGCGCAGCGAGCGAGAGGTGTCGAAGCGTCCCAGCGCGGCATGTGCGGCGACGAAGCTGTCCTGCACCAAGTCCAGCGCCTCGTCGGCATCGCGGACATGCGTCAGGATCAACCGGTACAACGCGCCCTTGTGCCGCGTGACGATCGCAGCATAGGCCAGCGCCTGCGCGCTCGCATCGCCATCCGCGCGAGGGCGACCAGATCGCCATCGGGCAACCCCGCATAGTCACGGCTCACCAGCCCTTGCTCACCGGCCCGTATCGGTCAGCTTGGCGACCACCAGCCGGTCGAAGGTCGCCGCCTGATCGGGGCGCAACACGGCGCATCGCAAAGACATGCGTCAGCGTCGCTTTTGCAGATCGCCCATACTGTGGTGGACAGCATCATTGCCGGGTGACGCGCGGGCCGTCGCGATGCTCCGCCTCGATCGCCGCCGCCAGCCGGGCATTGTCGCCCGCGCAGCCGGGCGTCCAGCACGGCACGGTCGCTGCGAACTGCGCCTCCAGCCGATCGAGCGCGACCGTCTGGGCGGGTCGAGCCGGATATCCCGGTGGATCAGCATATGGATATCGCCGCCGCCGGCGCGGCGGGCATCAGCAACCGGCATCCGATCGCGACCCCAGCCAGCGCCGCGACGAATGCGATCACCAGCGTCAGCGCATAGCGCCGCACCGCCCCGCTCATCGGCCGAGCAACAGCGTGGAAGGCGCGAGCCCGGCGTCGAGCACCATCGCGATCCGCTTGGGTCGCTCGCGCCTTCACCGCGCGCGCTCATCACCCCACCCGGCCAAACCCAGCAGCAGGCGCGCCGATACACCATCGCCAGCGCCCCGACGCCGCGTACCGGGACTGGCGGCGATGGCGGCCACCCGGTGCCCAGATCATCCAGCGCGGTCGGCGGCGGGCGCTGCGCCAGCAGGGCAAGGTCGTGGTCGAGCGGATCGGTCAGTGTCCCCACCTATACGCAGGGATCGGCCCTTCCCTCATCCCTCTTGCTCGCCCGCTCCCGCCGCGGGCCGTCGTTCCACCATGGACAAGGCTCGATTGTCGCACCGCAACATGGGGGGCCGCCCCCACGGCAAAGGCGCTTATGACCATCATGACGTCACCGATCTGGGGAAATCGGTGCGGGGGGGTTCACGTCGGGAAAGGGATTGGCCATGCACGTCCAGCCAGGGGGGCCAGCCGCTGATCATTCTGGCCAAGCCGCCGACGCGGTCTCGGGCGAAAATCCCTATACCAAGCTGCTCTTATGCGGATGGAGGACCAGAATATCGTCGTGCACCCCCATTCCCGACGCTCGCTGGTCGCGCTGCGCCTGACATCATCCATGTCCATTGGCCCGAATTCGGGTCCGCTGGAACGCCGGCACCGCCA